TAATCTGCTTCTACATTTTCTTTTCCTTAACTGAATTATTGCAATGTGATGTGCGTCGCATTTTGGCGCTCTTTATTCTGTTTTATGCATTATGACATTAACCCAAATTGGTTGAAATCGTTCTGATTTGCAAATTAATATGATATGACAGTTGTACATAGCATTACGTGCAATAATCTCAGTGATGGGATGGACAATGTACGGTAGTTCTCTTTTTGGAGTATGTGCTGGCCCTGAGAAAGGCAGTTTTGTTTGAATGTCGTAGCACTATTGCTGACGACGTTTTTGCCTTTTCTGGATAATTTTTAAAATCACCCAAGGAGCATAATCTACAGGATAATTGCCTTCTCCAAGAATTGAGATGACCTCATCGACAGGTAATAACTATACGATGGATCGTGCCCAAGACGAGAATGCCCGTGTCCATGGCTGCGGTGGTCTCCTTGTCGAAAGAGGGCTGGATAAATACGCATAGTAGCATTCTATACTGGAGTCAAACATGATATGGCAATTGTTATTTGAATCCATGTCGATTGATAGTATGACTGAATTGTATGCATACACGTATAAATAAAAAAATATGGCTAACAGGAAGGTATTAACTCGTGTATAACTCAAATGTCGTTGACATATTGTTTTCAAATGACCCATTATACTGATTTAAATTTATTTTTTATTTTTATTACACATATCATTTTTCGCTGATGGTTTTCTTCATATTGTCGTAATGTAACTGTGTTTTTTCTTTGCATTCTTATTATGTTTTGTAAAGCAAATGTTTCTAATACATTCGAAGTATTCTCTTTATATCATACAAAATGAAAAAGTTTCTTTACTACCAACGAATAAATAAAAACAAACGAGGCAGTATTTAGAGGAATAATCTGTACTCAAATATTATTGAACGTTTTGGAGAATTCTGGTTCAGACTTGTTTGTATTATACGTGTCTACCACATGATTTTCTATACTGACTGCATGAATCAGCTAATGGTGACATCTTTAGGACGAGCTTGCGTAAACTAAGCTGATAAACTCTGCACTGGTCACTGAACTGTGTTTTAAGAAAAGCTGTGATTGGTATTGGAAACAAAAAAACAGGTATTTTCAATTGCTGACTAAGCTAGTTCTAAATTAATTGACGACGACACCCATGAATTAAACTGAATCTTCGTTTCTGATGATTACATGGATTTTCTAACTGACCGTGGTGGTCTCGAATCCTGTAACCCTTTCGAGCTTGACTTGCATGTCATATACATGCAATTGAGCTTAAAATAGTTCACTATTTCATCGGCTGGTATGTAGTGTATAAAAAAAGACAATCAAGGAAAGCTTCTGCGTTCCAAAATGTTTACAATGTTAAAAACAGATGAAAGATAAGTAATTTGTATAAAATACCAGTTTGGAGAGTTTAATATCGCCTGCGCCTTGCTTTTACTTTACATCTATCAGTAGACTGAATAACTAAACAGGTTGACTTCATTTAGGAATATCGAGCGGTGTGTATGAATATGTGATGGTTCAAACTAGCCAACCGATATACTGTGGTTGATTCTGGACGGCCTAAGTGTGTCTAACAGCCTGGAGACTGGATTGGGATCTGTGTATTGAAACCTGAAACCACACAATATCTTCACAACAGAAGTCTAGAAAATTATTTCTTTTGAGTGCAATATTTGTTATTGTTGCTACAGTATTAACCGTAGTCACACTAAAGAAAAAAGCGCAAGCGCACACCTGCATGTCAAATTAACGCCACAATATTTTAAATAGTTCACTACCCGGCTAATTAATTTCACGTTTGTGTGATTGCCAAAGACCAAAATTCAGTTGATTTGACAATGCTAGTAAAAATTCCAAATCAACGAAATTACAGATTAAAGAGGCAATATGCCTTATTTTAATTATATATGTTTAATATTATGTCTGTTATGAACGTTATGATGTATGTGGTAGACCATGCAGTACATGAAACGTTGCTAACACACTGAAAATTATAATGTACATCATGTAGCACATGAACATTTTCACGTTTCATGTTAAATTATAATGTTTTAAATAATGGTTTATCTGAGCTAATCTAGCATATACTTAGAAATTCACTTCTTTCTTGTCCTGAAACACGCGTGGCTATTTCGGTTAAAGCTCAGAAATAGATCACATATATCCTCGGGGGCGGAGCTACGTCACGGACGTTCTACGTTGCTAAGACCGCACCACAGTACCACGTATTTCTATGAGCTTTGTGCGCGCTGCTGTGGAACGTCGGTGGAGCCGGTGAAAACTCGAGAAAACAACACAAACTCAACTTTGAAGTAATCCTGAACAACCAAATTCATATATGTTACACACGTAGGGCTAATATTATTACATTGTTCAGGGGACTCTCAACAACTATCGCAAAGTACCGTTTTCTGCGAGTTTTTGGTCTTTGTTTTCACTGCGAGGGTTGCCAGGCGGTAGAAAATGCCCGGATGTCCGCCCCCGAGGATACAGTGATATATAAAGTGGCAAAGTGGCCGCTTGGTGACGTACATCAGAGAGGGAATAATCCGTTCGGATTGCAGTGGTATGTTGAAAATTAAAGCATCCAATATGGTCTAGATGTTGTCCTGGCACCAATATTATTTTTTCGAAAATCTTGATTGTACGATGAATTATTTGATGACATTTCTCAACCACGTGACCTCATGGCCACAGTAACTGTACTTCTAGTATGTATGGTGGGAAATAAGCCGGTATTTAATGTATAAAATAGACAATGGATAAAGGCTGCAGCAATCCAACATTTGAGGTAGTAAAAATAGTCGACAAAAAAGGTAATTTAATTTATAAAAAATACCAGTTGCTCTTTAAAATGTTGCTAATGCTTTGCAATTACCTTGCTGATATTAGTAGAATAACATAAGAAAACTAAACATTTTCCTAATTGTATGAATTCTGAGCGATGTGTACAGTTGGATGCGTGGTCTATTTGGAATTTGTCATGCACAAATCTGATTACAAACGAAAGCGGGATCACGTGTCAGTTAGCATCGCGCACTGATTTGAAATATCAACTAATATTCTCCAAACAGAATTATTTTATAAATTTAATTAAATTTGACTTTTTTTTCTTCTGCGTTTTTACAGTTTAAAAATGTGCTATCGCTGGGGTTGCGTAAAATAGATCTTTTGAAATTATAAAAATTAATACATACTTAACTCTGTGCAGTGTGCATATAATTGTTTGCAGAAGCTTTTAACGTTATAGTGTTCATCGTAATTTAGGTCAGAAATAGAAAAATCGTAAATGTTGGTTCATAAGGTATACCTTGCTGATGGTCCTGTAAATCATTGATCATTAGTTGAATTCCCTATGCGTAAAAATTGATATTGTTATGAAAAAGTTGTAAAGAAATAACATGTCCTTTTTTCATCTAAATCGTTGTTATATACAGTTTTCGTCTTTGTATCCTTTGTCGCCTGCATAAACATTACATATTGTATTGCTTTTTTAAGTTGTTCCGATCCCAAAACGTCGAAATTTCTTGTGTGTAAAAATTAATCTCACCAATAATAGAAATACTAGGCAACCAATAGGGAAACAAAACAAATTTTGTTTAACATATACATGCATGACGTTAGCATAAAGTGTGCTTAGAGTGTAAACAGAAACAGTAAAGTTTAGCTGCTACCTGCTATATAGTCCGCATAATTATACAACATTATCAAAATGCATTCACTTCATTAAGGGTAATAGTCATGTCTCTCTAAAATATATAAGACGCATCAATTTTTAACCAAAATGAAGTAATGTGTCTTAGTAGCGTCTAT